AAAAAAAAAAAAAAAAAAGAATCTTCCTTCATTAAGCCAGTATTTATAAGCATGTTCTATAGCCCAGGTCTTTGCTATAGACACACTGAACACATGATAATTATTGTAATCATTCTGTAATGAGAGGTATGGAAGTTCATAGGTGAGATCCTACTGGAACTGAAAAGATAAGGAATGTAAGAAAAGTAAGTCTTAGGAGAAGTAAAGAATTAGGCAGAATTAGCTAGAAATGGTCCTGGGGTGAAATAGAAAAAATACAGCTTGGCCTTTGGGTGTTTGGGGAAAGAGTTTTTGGTAACTTGGGGTTAAGGTTAATTAAGTTACTAGCATCCAGATCAAGGAAGATCTTTCGTATATTTTGCTAAAGCAGAATGAAATATACCTAAGGTGACCAGACATCCTCTTTTGGCGGAACATTCCTGATTTTTAACAATTTGCCCTGGGTCTCGCAGCGTTTTAAAAAAGTCCCAATTTTTGGAACGAATGTATGACAAGCTAGGGAAGGGCGGGACAACAGGAAGGGAATATACGGTTTTTGGCTACTGAAAGGTTAATGTAACTCCATTTGGAAATGAAAAGGCTAATGTAAACTCCCTACTCCCCTCCTGGGCAAGGTCACCCAGGTGGGACCTACTCAGGAGCCCTACTCCTTTGAGCCACAGGTGCCGCCCTATACATAATTTTTTTTAATGTATTACATTTGTAAATTGTACTTATGTTGAAATTTAAAATATATATATTACAATACTATTTTTGCATTCTATGAAAATTTCTGTTGCTCCGTATACACCAAATTTTTAAATTTTTAAGTAAGAACCCCGCCCTCCCCCCCATCAATGGCGTCTCGCTTTACCAATGTTAAAATCTGGTCACCTTAAATATACGCTACAGGTAAAGGGCTATTGTTTCCAGGTTAGCTTAGGTAATGCAGAGTTGATGTTTGCATCATAATCTGAAATAGATAAAAGTTGTATTTATTTTTTGAGACAGGGTCTTGCTCTGTCACCCACGCTGGAGTGCAATTGCATGATCATAGCTTACTGCAGTTTCAAATTCATGGGTTCAAAGGATCCTCCTCCCCAGCCTCCCTAGTAGCTGGGACTATAAGCACGCACCACCAAGCTTGGGTGATTCCCTGTTGTTGCTGAACAAGGTCTTACTCCGTTGCCCAGGCTAGAATGCTGCCAGGTCACATCAGCTTAGCTCACAGCAACCTCAAACTTTTGGGTTCAAGTGATCCTCCTGCCTTAGCCTCCCAAATAACTGAGACTACAGGCACTCACCACAACGCCTGACTAGCTTTTCTATTTTTACGTAGTAGAGCCTGGGTCTTGCTCTTGCTCAGGCTGGTCTCAGACTTCTGAGCTCACGTGATCCTCCTGTGTTGTCCTCCTAGAGTTCTGGGATTACAGGTGTGAACTACTGTACCAGCCTATAGAGCAGTGGTTCTCAGCCTTCTTAATGCCTCCTAATACTGCAAACATTTAATATAGTCCCTCATGTTGTGGTGATCCCCAACCATAAAATTATTTTCATTGCTACTTCCTAACTGTAACTGTGCTACTGTTATGAATCGTAGTGTAAATATCTGATATGCAGGATGTATTTTAATGTTACAAAGGGGTTGCAACTCACATGTTGAGAACTGCTGCTGTAAAGGTTTTTAGAGACCATAATTTTTAGTACATGTACTGTAGTGAGTCCCCTTGGACTATTTAACCCTTTTGATAGGATCATATTTTTGTTATATCAAATACTGTTTATAAAAATTCTAAGACGGTATGTGTTCTTTTTGAACATGTTATGTTTGTATGTATTATTTAATGGGTAGAAAAAAGTGGTGGCTCACACTGGTAACCCCAGCACTGAAAGACGAGGCAGGAGGATCTCTTGAGACGAGGAGTTTGAGACCAGCCTGGGCAACATAGCAAGACCCCGTATCTACAAAAAATAAGAAAAATCAACTGGGTGTGGTGGTGCACACTTGTAGTCCTAGTTACTTGGGAGGCTGAGGCAGGAGGAATTCTTAATCCCAGGAGTTTGAGGCTACTATTAGCTATGAGTGTGTGCCACTGCTCTCTAGGCAAGGCAACAGAGCAAAACCCTGTCTCAAAAAAAAAGAAGTAGTAGAAAGACTGCATAAGAGAGTCTTCATATGGTATAATTTCATGATCTATTTTCTTTTAATAATACTTTTTTGCATCTTTGCCCCCAAAATGAATCTTACCCATTGCCCCCAGAAATTCATGTAGACTCCACAAACATGGTATTTCGACTTTGAAAGAATTAATGTAAAGGCACTATACTTGGGAAGACATATGTTATCATAATAATATCTTTGTTTTCAACTTTTATAGGATTTTTTTAAGTTGAAATGCATGAAACAAGTAGTTTTAAAGTTAGATATTTCTAAATACATTTCGTCTTCAGTTTAGGAGCCTGTTTTTGTGTTGATCTGGAATACAAGATCTAGGCCTTCATTACGACAGTGGGGCTCCATTTGTTGTCTGTGGTGAACATATCTCGCTCTTAATTCTGTAAACTTCTCTTCTCTTTCTCAATAAACTTTGTTTAAAAAAAAATAGAATACACGATCTGTGAATGAAAGTTTGTTCCTGGAAGATCTTGAACTAGTTCAAGAAAAGAAAAATTCACAAAGATTTGACTAGTTTGATAAATTGTGTATGCTGGTTTTAACCCAGTGATACTATTGATCTAATACAGATACCTCATGCCTGTTCTCCCATTCTGAAAGAAAAATCAGAAGTACTTACATTGTTAACTATTTAATTTTGTCAAAACAATGAACACGAACTAGATTATTTTATGGATGATAAACTTAGAGCACAGTGTGGGGTCTGTGTACGTTAAACACAATCCATTTCTCAGTGACATTTCTAGGGGGAATCTCCAAGGTAATTTTATCAGAGTAGGTCCAGACTTGTTTCTCACAGCTTATAGGTCATCACCATTGGAATTTCTTTTGCCCTTGGAGCAAAGCTAAACTCAGTCTTTAGACTGAAGCCTAAAACTTACTGTTTCTTTCTACCTGTTTTTTTCTGACCTAAGTCTTAACTCCTCTGTTAACATCCATTGACACCCTCTAAACCTGAAATCTGGAGGTTATCTTTGAACATTTCTTACTACATTCTGTTGTGTTACTTTTATCTCCAAAGTACCTTTTGATATGACCTCTTTCAGTCACTTAACTTCAGGGCCTCATTTCTAGGAAACTAACTTAACTACGGCTTCTGCATTGACTAGTACAAATTTCCTTACCCTGTGTGTCTTCCTTCTGATTCATTTTCCACATTGTTATCCTAGTTTTCTCCCTAGAACCAAATATCACTGTATAGGTCACATATGTAATATATATAGAATGTTTTCTCTAGTTTAGAATTTTTAAGTGGCTTTTCACCCACAGGATAACATTTGACCCCTTATCCTAAAACAAATATGTCAACTCTTCCAGCCTAGTCACTTGCTGTCAACATTTACATTTTACAGTTCAGCCTGCGTTGCCTACAGTATGGGCTTTAGAGTTAGGCAGGCCAGATTCAAATCCCCACAGGCTTGTTTTTAATCTTTTTATACCTCTTTTTCCTTCCCAATAATACAGAGGAGAGAGTAATAACCTACCTCTTAGATTTATAAGAGTTAAATGATTGTTCATTAATAGCACTAATATTGATTAGCATTAAGTAAGTCATGGCTTTGGTGGTGAGAATGCAGAATGGTACAACCACTTGGAAAACAGTTTGGCAGTTCCTCAAACTGTAAAACAGAGTTAGCATATGACCTAGAAATTCCACTGTGTATATAGCCAAGAGAAATAAAAGCATATGTTCATGTAAAAACTCGTACATATTCATAGCAGCATTATTCATAAGTGCCAAAAAAGTAGAAACAATCCAAATGTTCATCAACTGATGAATGGATGAGCAAAATACAGTGTATCTATAAAATGGTGTATTACTCATCACTAAAAAGGAATGAAATACTGATACATTCTACGACATGGATGAACCCTGGAAACATTATGCTAAGTAGAAGAAGCCAGTTAACAAGTATCATGTAAACTTCCATTTATATGAAATGATGTGAATAGACAAATCCATAGAGACAGGAAATAGTGTTTGCCAGTCTGCAAGAAGGGAGGATGAGGACTGCTAATTGGTATGGGGCTTCTTTTGGAGATGATGAAGATGTTCCAAAATAAGATAGTAGTGATACTTGTACAACTCTGAATATACTAAAACCACTGAATCGTACATTTTAAAAGTATGAATTTTATGTAAGTTATATCTCAATATGGTTGTTAAAAATAAGAGGTAAGCCGGGTGCAGTCCTAGCCCTCTGGGAGGCGTAAGTAGATGGATTGCCTGAGCTCTGGAGTTCTAGACCAGCCTGAGCAAGAGCAAGACCCCGTCTCTAAAATAGCCAGGCGTTGTGGCAAGCAGGTATAGCCCCAGCTACTTGGAAGACTGAAGCAAGACAATTACTTGAGCCCAGGAGTCTGAAGTTGCTGTGAGCTATGACACCATAGCACTCTACCGAAGGTGACAAAATGAGACTTTGTGTCAAAATAAATAAATAAGTAAAAATAGTTCTTATTATATACATTTGTTTTCAGTTCCTTTGAAAGCTTCCTAAAGGCAAATTCTGTGTCATCTTTAAATATTTTCATCCAGCACATGATACCTTGTATATAGTAGATTATTTTTTGTTTTGTTTTTGAGACGAAGTCTCACTTTGTCGCTCTCAGTAGAGTGCTGTGGCATCATATCTCCTAGCAACCTCACACTCTTGATCCTCTTGCCTTAGCCTCCCAAGTAACTGGGACTATAAGCACCCGACACAACACCCAGCTATTTTTAGAGATAAGGTCTCATTCTGGCTCAGGCTGGTCTCAAACCTATGAACTCAGGCAGTCCACCCACCTTGGCCTCCCAGAGTGCTAGGATTACAGGCATGAGCCACCTCACCCAGCCGTGTATAGTAGCTTCTTAGTAGATATTGCAGTATGAATAAGTCTTTCTGAAGCAGTCTGTTAGAGCTTAAGTGAGGGGGGGAAATGGTGTGAAAGTTTCCTCAGATTGTATTATCAAAGTACATCTTTGCAGTTATCTATGTTCTTGTAGAGATAGAATTTAACTGAGTTGTCTGTTTTCCCTCCTAGGATACACACCTGCTAAAACTGCTTAAAACATTAGAGGGACATGCTTATGGTGTTTCTTACATTGCATGGAGTCCAGATGACAACTATCTTGTTGCATGTGGCCCAGATGACTGCTCTGAGCTTTGGCTTTGGAATGTACAAGTGAGTGAGTTCCATCCTTGGTTCAGCCTTTTTAGTACAGCAAAGTTGTAATGCTTATATTCATTATAACTTTATCCTTGGTTTATAGAACAGATCCATTTGTCCTAAATTACTATGATGTATTTCTGAGAAAAGATAGCTTTGAGTGGAACCCAGGTCTTCAGATTTAAAATATAAATATAATGCTAAATAATAGTTTTTGAAAGAATGATCAGTGAGCATTTTCAGGATATTTTGCTTTGTCTTATGGAACTTTTTACTATTTACTGCAATGTCTCAAAAATGATTTTGTGTTTGTTTCAGTTTTGCAATTCTAAACTTAAGCCTTCAATTGTAAAATATTGGTATTAAACCAAATTTTCCATTTTAATAATAGCAGATGTACCATCTCCTTACCTATATTGGATATTCTTTTTTCTTTTTTTGAGACAGAGTCTCACTAAAGCCCTCAGTAGAGTGCCATGGTGTCACAGCTCATAGCAACCTCAAACACTTGGGCTCAAGCAATTCCCTTGCCTCAGCCTCCCAAGTAGCTGAGTCTACAGGCGCCTGCCATAATGCCCAGCTATTTTTTGGTTGTAGAGGTCATTGTTGTTTTTAGCAGACCTGGGCTGGGTTTGAACCCGCCAGCCCCTGTGCATGTGGACGGCACCATAGACACTGAGCTACAGTGAGCTACAGGCACCAAGTTTATATTTGATATCCTAAGGAAGCCTTTTATTTTCTGGAGACAGAGTCTCAAGCTGTCGCCATGGGTGGAGTGCTGTAGCATCATAGCTCACAGCAACCTCATCATACTCTTGGGCTCAGTTTTTCTATTTTTAGTAGAGACAGAGTCTTACTTTTGCTCAGGCTGGTCTCGAACTCCTGAGCTCAAGCAGTCTATCCGCCTTGGCCTCCCAGAGTGCTAGGATTACAGACTTGAGCCACTGTGCCTGGCCTCTAAGCAAGCTTGATGAAACTAAATCATGTTCCCAGTACTTATTTTTAAGGGCTTTATTACTATTCTAAATGAAAACTTGAATTTTCTCCAGAGTCCCAATTTAGGAAAATTCAGCATTAGGTTCAGTCCATCATTTTGCAGATCATGTTTTAGAAATCCTATAGTTAACGATTTTTTAAAATTTCCATACATAAGCTGACTGGTTAGGTGATTTTTGTTTTGTTTTGTTTTGTTTTGTTTTTAATAGAGACAGAGTCTTACTTTATTGCCCTCGGTAGAGTGCCATGGCGTCACACAGCTCACAACTTCCAACTCCTGGGCTTAGGTGATTCTCTTGCCTCAGCCTCCCAAGTAGCTAGGACTACTGACGCCTACCACAATGCCTGGCTGTTTTGTTGTTGTTGTTTTTGTTACAGTTTGGCCAGGGTCAAGTTTGAACCCACCACCCTCAGTATATGGGGCCAGCGCCCTACTCACTGAGCCACAGGCACCGCCCCGGTTGTTGCTGTTTTTTTAACCTCTAGGCAAAGGAATGGTCCTGGCTCTCTTTGGGGTATAAAAAAATATAATTTGGGGGGAGAGATAAAAAACAGATCTGGGATTAAGCTGTGATGATGCCTGGCCAGTTGGTGATGTGCTTGTGATTAGATTCAGGGAGGTGGCAAAACACACAATAGAATAGATAGCTTTTAATAAAACAGAGCTTTTCAGTAAATCTGACCTAAAAGATGGAAGAAATTTTTTTTCCATCAAAGCTCTTTTTTTCCTCCATTGGGAGTAAGTATGCAGTCTTAATCCTATAATAGAGGTTTAATTTGTAGTGTCTGTATATGCCTTTGAGTCAGTTTTGAATTTCTGACCAGTTAAACTGTTCTGACATAACTATTATTTTATGCAATAAATATTTTATGTATTCTGAAAGGGTGATCTTTAAACCAGTTTTCAAATTATTTCCGCATGTTTTTAGGTAGGATTCTAGTAAATAATCTAGTAACCTCACCTACTTACTATTTAGAGTGCAACAGAAGAAAAGACCCATTTCTACCTTCAGCATTAATATTAGTTAGTGTGTTAGTATATTTGTGAATAGAAGAGGCCAAGAATTTAGCTGTCAAATGTATATTGTGCTTCTAAATGTTAACTATTTATATCTAGCAAGTCAAAAGAGCAAGTAGGTGAAAGTTGTTAAAAATTTGCAGGAAGGATTTAGATCACTAACTTTTTTTTTTTTTTTGTCAACGTAAGGCAGACATCGGGGTTTATGTTTTTGTACCCTCTTTGCTTTTATACTACTTGGTCCCATTTTCTAATCATTCCCTTTGTTTTTACTCTTTATATTTACTTTTGATTACCCATTTCTCACAGGAAAATTATGCCCATGTACTTTTTATTATATCAAGGGCAGCTATTATCTCTCAGATCCTGTTTCTAATCCATGAACAAAATGGAGTCAAGACTAGATTAAATGGTATGTGTATACCTTCTAAGTTGAATAACTTAGAAAATGTAACAAGAGGGTATCTAAGGGTTTAACCACTAAGTATTCTAGTTTAGTTGGAAATGCTGTAGAATGACCATGGTAAATAGTAGAAGGGTTCCTCTTTCTATTACTTTTAATTAAAATAAGATTACATATCAGAAAAATAATTTTCTCTATTCCCATCTTCCCTACTGTATTGTGAACATTTGAATGTGAAACTTAAGATCATTAGACTGCTTTTGTAAGGGCATAGTTTTTCTAGCCATTAAGCCATGTTCTTAAGTAATTACTAATTCCATTAACTGCAGCTTTAGAATAAAATTTATAAAGAAGTTTGGACTGGGGAAGTAGAATTTCAGAAAGCATAGATATGTAGTGTTGGGATTTTCATCTTCTTGCTTGGGGAAAATTACATAAAACTACAGTTTTAGTTTTATAAATGTAATTGATTAAGAGATTTATTGGAGTTTATCTCATCATATGTACACTTTGAGTCACCTGTCAGACATTATTCATCTCCTGTTTTTCTTCAAGTCCTAAATTTCTCTTCTGAGTGCCATTTCTCTAATTAAAAATACCAAACTCTGGTCCCAGCTACTTGGGAGGCTCAAGAGAATGACTTGAGCCCAATTGAGGTTATTGTGAGCTATGATACCACAGCACTCTACCAAGGGCAACAAAGTGAGACTCTGTCTCAAAAAAAAAAAAAGTCAAACTCACCTGATATCCTAGTTACTGTATTTTTTTAG